ACTGGGGGCTATTCATGCCAGCAGCTAAGAGGTCGAAAGGTTTCTGAAGTTCACAGGCTCAGAGCCTTTGTTATGCTAACAGACAATCTCAAATCAGCTGCCTAGTGGAGTGTGAAATATAAATGATTCCTTGAGAACTTCCAATAAGTTGTCACTCTTGCTCTCCAAATACCAGGACAGGCTGCTAATTTCTAGCAGGCCCTTTTGCAACATTGCTAGCCCTGAATGAATGCCTTTGTAGTTCAAAATAATCTTTTCAAGGGAGCTGTCCTATCATCATAGCCCAAATGCATCTTGGTTTTGACTATTAAATGAAAATCAGGGCTCAGCAGTGCTTGACTTTTCCAAGCGGGCCGATGTTTGGGAAAGGTGGTGGCAGCTCTCGTGCACAACAAGTTAGCACCCACTGCAGGAGGGCTAGGGCATTAATAACAGGCCTCCGCCCCAGGAGCTACCCTAACAGTCACCCCCACTCCCTACCCAGGAACAATGCTCTGGGAGAGATTTACGTGGCTTCCCTCAGGCTGGACTACCTTCTTCTTTCAACCACATCAACATTTCTCTGATTTATGGGCCCTCTGTCCAAGAGGAGAGCCAGCTGACCTACTAGCATCTGACTGGTCACTTCGAAGCATCAACTTTGAAGATGGACGTATTCATTCTTCAGGGCAAGTGAGGCCAAGGGGAAGAGGGCAAGGTGTATGTCCAGGCCATGACCTTAGTATCAGATGCCTGTGGATATTATTTTATGGTTTTCCCATAAGAGGGATACAAACATGGCTTATGATCTTGGGTGTGACCTTTGAGCATGTACAGATGAATGTTCATGAAAAGGGGTCATAAAATCATGTCCAGTATCAGCATGTCCAGGAAAAAGGTCCTGGCTTTCTGAGTCTGAATTGCAACGTTTTCAAATAAGGAAAACCACTTCCTGTTCCAAAAGCCAAGCAAGTTGGGAGAGCAAGAATGAGAATCTGGCTGGAAGAGTGTGCCCAAATTAAACATTCTAGTAGGAAAGAACAAAGCTAATTTAAACAAATAAAAGGAAAACAGGCAAAAGAGAGGCTGGAGACCAAAGGAAATTAGAAATCCATCTGTATCAGTCTTCACAAAGGAAAGAATAATAACTCAATAGTGGTAATTTGGGTCCTAAAAATTTTGATATTTCTAACTCTAATATCCTCAGCCTCTTTGCTGAAATACGAAAAGGTCCGTGATATGACAAAAGTCTCTGCTTTTTTCAAATAGAGAAGATTCGATTTTTGGTAAGGAATAGGAAAGAGTCAAATGGATTATGTTTCTTAATATATTTTAGGGTAAGTTTATAAACATATAAAAGGTATAGATTTTAATATATCCTGAGGTAATTTTATCAAGATTGAAGATAGAGCTATGCAGAAAAACAAGGACCTTGATTTTTCTTCATCTTCCTCATCCTCTAACTACAATTTAAAAGTATTACTAACCACAATGATTTTTAAAATATTATCTCAAAAATGTTTGAAGGGGTTCATTTTGATTGATGTAAAACTGGTTTAAGTAAACACCTTTTCTGTTAAATTATACTGAGATTGCAACTATATTTTCAAAGATTAATTAAGTATAAATGAGAATGGTGGTACACCTTGTACCAGTTTGAAATCAACTAGTTTACATGTTTAAATTTTGTTTTTAAAGCCATGATGCAACTATAACTGTTACAGACTCTGGAATTTGACTCAGAGAATTTAGCCATCAGAATAAGAGAGTATTTAGAAATTAAGTAATTATTTGTCTTTCAGATTCTTACTTGTTTCATTCAGTAAAGCAATCTGCCAATATTGGCTAGAAACATAGTTCCGATTACGGACGTCGAAGGAGTAAAAGTTTGTGGTTTCTTCTGGCCAAATACCAGAATTCGACAATAATTTGTTATTGATCCACTCACACCCTTTTCAGAGGGACTCAGGATTCTGCTTATCCCTTTTTCAGAGATAACAGAATGATTGGTCTCGAATGCACTTCTAATTACACCATCAGAAAAAAAATAATCACACACACAGATGAAGGCAACATGGATAGCTAGAAGTTCAACAGATGTGACACAATGTGCTTAAAATTAACTTTTCATCCCCTTTCCATTTTTAAAAATTTAATTAATATTAAACCGTAAGTAACTAGATGTTATTGACACTCGCTGGACATTCAAAGGGGAAACACCTTCCCTGTGCTTCCAAATACTTATTTTACCACTTCCAAGTGTCCTCTCTCTTTCCAGTCTTTAACACATCAAAACAGGGAAGAAAGAGCTTTTGTGTTATAACTACAGAGAAAACATTTGAGAATGTGTCAGTGCTGTGAATACCAGCACCAGTTTGGGGGTTGGTTTGTTTTTCCCCCTGCCGTGGTATTTCTTTTCCCTTTGCTTTTGCCGTCTTTAAACTCTAGCCACTTTGAGAAAAGCAATGGTTGAAATGAAAAGTTAGGACAAGCTGCATTAAACCCCTGTGCTGCCAGAGTATGAGCATGATGAAAGCAGTGCGGGAGAGTGAGGAGCCAGAGCAGCCTCACACAGAAAATTAAAATAAAATACAAAATAAAAGCTGGTCTTTTGTCCTTCCTCGTCAATACTTAAGATCCTAGAGGAAGGGAATTCCTGTTTACAAAAAAACGAGTTTCCAGGATTGCCAGGTCTCCATAGTGGGTGTCTGGGTGTGTGTGTTTGTGTGTGCATGTGAGTGTGTGTTTGGGGAGAAAAGAAAGAATGGGGGAGGAGGAAGGGCAGATAACTTTACTGACATATTAATTCTTTAGATAGCAGTAAATGAATGGTCCAAATAGACATTTGTTTCCCTTAATAGGTTTTGTACAGGTCTCTTACAAGCTGTGGCATATGCTTCATTTATATGTATATTTATTTAGAAGGATAGAGAATAATAGGTGTAGTTTGTCTATAGTCGCAGTTATTATTTAAAATCCAAAGAGGTTACAACTTTTCTCTACTCCAAACACGAATACAAAGATCTCTTGTATATGCCTTCTGCATTATGTTGAAGGCCAATTAAAAATAAAGATAATATTCTAAGCATCGAGCCCGAGGAGGAGAAAGAAGGAGGCTAAAAGGCAAAATGACTCCAAGATGGCTGCCTCTTCCTTCCTTGCCCTCCTTCTGCCTGTTTTCCACATAGAAATTAATGTAATATTTTGTTTAGAAATCACATTGTAGGTCATTTGTAAATGAGGCAGCCCCGGAGGCACCCATCTCTGCCTAGAATACTCTCAGAATGCCATTGAGGTATGGAGAGAGATTAAAATGCAAACATTTAAATTTATTTAGATTTGTACGTAGTGCCTGGGCTCACACACATAAACTCTTTAATACGGGGACAACACACACAGCTGCAAGTGGGATGAAAGATCGAAATTTCTCTTAATTCTTAGGACAGAAGGGCAAAGGAGGGCGCCAGGCCACCACCTTCCTCCCCAAAGGTTCAAAAAGATCCTGTTCATGGTCTGGATTCGATTTTTTTAAAAAAGATATATGTTACTGATGACTCTCTCATTAGGCGGACTTCTGAAGTCTGGGGAGACAAGATTTCCATAAATTATCTCTCTAACTCATCCCATGCTGGTACAAAATAAAAAGCTAAAATTGCTTTTATTTTTTGCATTTTTTCAAAACAGAGAATAGCAAGCTAAACAGCTTTCTGACTCACCTGTTAAAGATTAGGATCACTAGCAATTACTGCTATTAATTATAATAAATATATATTCTCAATCACAAAATCCTGCTCTAAAGCTAAACTAGAATAATGTGAAGAATAAATAAAAGTATATCTGGGGCTTTATAACAGATTTATAGCAGGTGACTGTGTAGACTGGAGTGCATTAGGCATAGAACAAAGCAAATGGTTTAGTTCCTATAGGAAATATATTAAAAAGAAAAAACCCACAACCCTTTATCTAAAAGCCATCAGGGACAAGCACTCAATACAAGTTAACAAGCAGGAACTGATAAGATAACATTTATATGAGGTCAGAAGTCAAATGCCAGTCAAAGGCTTTTAACCTCTTGGGTCATAAACAGGAATAGTTAAAAGTGAGAGGTAGTTATTTATCGGATTTTAAGGGTACCTGATCATTGCCAGAGAATCCCCGATAATGAAACTAATTAGGATTTATAGAAAAAGAACTTCGTAGCTGTTCAAAGAAAATTAACCTACAAACCCATAATTCTTCAATTGTAGGGAGAAAAAACAAACAAACAAAAAATCCTCTTTTGAGTGGAGGGGAAAAAATATAGCAATTTACACAGATTTAGTAACATAAATCTCTCCCAGAAATAATAATTTATAGCTAATGTACCTATGGATTAATATATGGTGAAAGATATATCTTGAAAATTCTGCATTCACAATCTAACAATAAAAATAACCATTACATAATTTATTTCCAATTTTTGTTCTTTTTCTTTTACTCCCCTTCAAACCTCCTAAATTAGACAGAATACAACTCCGATATCACGATACTTTTTGCTCTGAAAATGCCATCATTTGTAAATTAAAATATACATATACGTATTCTAGTAGCAATTATTTTAAAGCATCAAACTATTGCAACCGCTTAATTAAATTTTTATCCTAATCTACCCAGAGAAACAGCTGTCTCTCCTTTTATTTGCTGTCAGAATATTTTTCTTTGTTTTGATTTTTGTCCTTTTTTGTCTTTTTTTAGTTATAAACTCCAAACTCCCAGACAGTTCCTGGTCCCAGAGTCCATGCTGACTTATATTTTCAAAGCATACCATCCCCCTTTTTTTTCTCTTTTGCAATAAAAGAAAGCAGATCTAGATCTCCCTTTCCAGAGAGATAGAGGGATTGCTGTTAGGCCTGCTAAGGCCCACTGTTTCTTTAAACAGAGTCCACAATACACTAGGCGAACATTGTGGATTTAAAATGCTTTTAAATATTTATCAGAAGTATTTTATCATCATATTCAAATGACACCTGGAGTGCACTCACCTTTATTGACAAGCTCTGTTCTGAAAGTCCATTTGCTTCCTTAAAGCCCCCCAAGCAGAACAAGGACTACCCGTTTTCATTCAGTTAATGTTTAGTAAAAAACCAAGCAACCTTAATCAGCATGCTGATTGCATCGTCAACTAACAAATAATTTACTACTCTGAGCATTGCATTCCATTAAAAGCTCATTAAATTTTCTGTTCTCCAATGGGAGGTTTAGCTTTTGAACTGCATGCTTTTGCTTCGAATGATCATTTATTCAATTTTTGCAAAATGTTGTGTTTTTTTTCCTGAAGTATAGGTGAGCATTTCAATACCTATACACTGCAGACATATGGAAATACAGCCCAGAGTTTGAGAATGTGCCATTTGATTTATAAACTCTGTTTAATAAAAATTCAACATAATCTCATATACTTTTAGGAAATCCTAAAATCACTGAGTATATCTGTAGTTATGCCTGACCAAAACAAAGCCTCAGAAATGTGAATACATAATATAAAACGTCAAATCCCTTTTTTAAAGCTTAAATTTTCCTTTTTCACATATTGTAGCTATTGTTATTTTTATTATTTTTATCCTTGTAAACAGCTATTTTCTCCTAATTAAAAAGGAGTGTGACACCACAAAGCCTTCACCATATTTGATGCCAAACTTAATATCTCAGTGTGGGGGAGGGTGAGGAGTGGGCACTGGGGGTTGGTGGCCAGTTACCCAAAGAAATCTACATCACTTCCTGGGGTTTACACATTTTACAAACTCACAAGCCCCTGAATTATTTCCATGCCCAGACTGGTCTAGGAAAGAGTATTATTTTTAATTTAGGAAAATGTAGGAAAATATTGGCCCCCAAATTAATATGCATCTTTGGATTGCTAATTATGCTCATTGCAAATTTGGGTCATTTTGCATGAGTGACTCTAATGCAGCGCTGAGATTGCCATGCAGCGCAGTGGATCCCTGATTCCCGTGCTAATCCTGAACTCGGTGATTGTGTCAGGTGCAGTTCTGTGTGCTCTAGCAGCTGGCTCATCCTCATCAATGCAAATAAGGCAACTCCTACAATCAGAGCCTCGCGAGTGTGAGGCCTGATTGCTGAGGGCAGGCTGGAGCACTACACAGACTCTCACTTTCACATCACGCTAAGTGACAAGACAACTGCAGTGTCCCTCCAGTTCAAAATCAACCTTTCAAAAACAAAACAAGAAGAAGAGGGTGGCTACAAAGAAGAGAAAGCCCCAGTGTTGGGGAAATGGACTTGTTTAGATAGGCTTTATTTAGACACAAAGATAATGTAAAATGAATTTCAACAAATAATTTTCTAGCTCCTGTTCTGTGCAAGGTACTTTGTTTCAAGGGCTGCAAGGGATACAAAGGTGAGGGAGGACAGTCCTCCTTTAGAGGAATCCTACCATTTGACTGCAGAAAATTATAAAGGTTAAGATAATAGAATTATTATTATTTGGCACAGTCACCAAAATCTTAAATGAAACCATGAAACACATTTTGAGGGGAATTATTTAGAGATGGCACAATGATACACTCATTCAGAGCAAGAGCTTCTGGTTCAGATCCCAGCTTTGACATTTACTTGCCCAAGGTATTTCACCTTCCTACAACCTTAGTGCTGTCCCCTGCATGGTGACGACACAAGGCCCTGTCTCACAGGGATCCTGGAAGAGGGCAACTGAGGTTACACACGTGACACACTTGCCACAGTGTCGGACACCTGTTAAGTGCTGAATAATGTCAGCTGGGGTTCATATCATTTTCTCCTTAACAGATAAACGTGGGGGGAAGGAGGTGCACAGAAATAACAATGTGACCCAGTTTGAGAGGCGTTTATTTGATCTGTCTCTAAATTCCCATTTTACCTGTAGCATTTTCCCCATAGAAGGGAAAATACTGTGGACGTGAAAAAGCCCTGTATCTCTCAGTGGTGCCTGGACAACCCTGGCAACTCAGAACAGGAAGGAGAAAACAAGAAATCCCTGTGCTTCCCTTTTCTTCTTTCCCAAACACGTGTGCAGACTTCCCCTGCTTTTCAGTCCCACCCTCTTTATTTTACTGCCTAATCTATAAAGGAGGATTAACAGCAGCACGCTGCTTTGGCATAGAGCAGATTCTGGGTGAGGACCTTTAGGTAGAGTTTAATGAATACGATTTGCTAGGGCTGTGAGTGCATATTTTTAGCTACATGCTGGGCTCTAGCGTTGGCTCTTGAGACAGATGAACAGACCCTTTGATCAGACTTGGGTGTTGTTCCAAGAAGCACCTTTTTTAGAGAGTAGTTGGGAGGAAATGCCTTCTCTTTCTCTTATTCTTAATTTGCACTCTATAGATTTAAATTCCAGATAACGGGTCCCAATAATTCACATCACAGCACTGAGATACACCATTGTGGGATGCAAAGGTACTCCTGGGTAGCATCGGATCAACTTTCTCACTTAAGACAACGGCTGGTGCTCAGGTGGGAGGTTGCCATCCTTGTCCCTTGGAGAACAAGCTAGAGGTAGTTAACCTTCCTGGGGGAGGCTTGGTCTAGGCAACATCATAGACACCATATCCCCCTGGAGTTACCAAACAATGAAACTGCTTCCTTTGCCAAACACAAAGAATGGTCTGGACTAGGATATTAGCAAACAGGAAACTACATAAAGAAGATAGGGAGGGATGGAGGGAGAAAGGGAATGGAAAGGAAGAAAAGAAGGAATGATGGAAGAAAGGAAGAAAAATTAGAGCAAAGAAAAAGCATAAAATAAGATCTCTTTTCTGCTGTAGTTTGCCAGGGAGAGGACAACCGCACATTCTTTTCTTGATTTTAGCAGGGTCATGGCAAGGACGGGGAGGTGAAGGAGAAGGGGCTTTTATATATTACAGCCAGGGTGCAGACGAGGTGCCAAGTCCTGTGGAAATAGGTGCAACTTTAAGGCCTTGGCATTGGGAGAGGGTTAGCAAGATGGTGAGTGATTTGATCTCTTCTATTCCTGTTCAGGACCCTCTCCTTCCCTTTCTAATAGGATTAACAGATATTTTCCTAAGCAGAAATCAAAATGTGTCAAATCATCTGAGACAGTCAATTTGTTCACAATGCCCACATTCTTGCATTATGGATGCAGCACTATTCAAAAACAGTTTCATTTCAAGAGATACAATGCAGTGGAGAGGTAAACATTTATCTTCATAATCTTACACTCCTTTCAGACTGCTTAATTTTTCCCGGTGATTTTCCCCTCCTCTTTCACTCCACCCCCAAGCTCAGCTTCAAAACATCTAGCACAAAAAAGACATGACTTCCCCAGAGGATTCGGGTCTCAGTGATCCTGATGATGCAATGTGTGCTCTCCATTATTCCTGGGAGCTCCCTGGATATGTTCTGCGTCCTGGCTCACAGCTTCCGCTGTTCTGTTGCATCACTTACAAATCCTCCTGCAACACCTGCAAAGGGTACCTCCACCCCTTCCTCCCACCTCATCTCTAGTTATCGGGACTCCTTCCCCATCCCACCCCACTCCACCCCCACTCTTTTCTTTTATTGTTATTATTGCTATTATCATTCTCTCCACCAGCACAGCCCTCTGCAGCTTCTCCTTAGGGAGGCATTAAGTTGCCTTCCTTTGTGCTACCTTAAAACTGCTTGTCCTCCTGCAGCTCCCTTTGAACACAAGGACCAGTGTCATCTTTGGAACAATGAATGCAAGTAGTTACAGTGGGAATCCAACTTTGCATTGTTGGCATTCCTATAAATCTCATGCATTTTCATCCCCCCTCCTCCTTTCTTCTCATTAAGACCCCATAAGATAGCAGCAATTAGAAGCTCTGAAATGAATAGAAACAATAGCTACTGGTATGACTTATTCTTAAGATTTGAATAGTAGACATTTAGGAAGCAGAATAAAGTCTCCATCTTTTTTCCCTTTTTCTTACCATCTGTGTATTCAGTATACAGGTAGATATAATTTCTTTTTTTTTAAAGTGGATTGCTGACAGTATTTTGTTATAATGTATTTTCTATTGATACATTTTAAGTGCCTATTTAACCATAATGTTCTCCGTGATCGTGGTGTCAAAAAATAATGAATTGGCCTATTCTACCCAGAGAGCCCTACCATTTCCCCTTCCCACCTGTTAAAATCTCACCCATTCTGCAGGATCCAGCTCACACTCTATCTCCACCAGGAAATTGTCCCAGGTCCTCCCTGAAGATTCTTCTCCCTTGTGGCTCCTATTGTAGGTGTTGGTGTCTCTGCTCTGATTGGAGCTGGATTTTTAAATCTAGTTATTGTCGATGTTGGTCTGCACAGCTAGACAATGAAGCTTGGGGGGCAAAAAACTTAATGTCTTCCTTTCTGAACCCTCTGCTACTCCCAGGAGAGTGCCTGGCACAGCAGTAATGCAAATAAAATAACATTTAAGGGGTGGACAAGCAACAGAGCTGTGCTTGGAAACAGATCAATGGGCAGAGAGGCTCTGTGACCGGAGGATGAAGCATGGATGGCCAGCTGGGCCTCTTTGGGGCCAGAGAAAAGCCTACCAGGTCCTCTTTGGGCCCCCCCTAAATTGGGGGGACATCAAGTCACTCCTGCCCACTTCTCCCACCCCATTTTCACTCCTATTTGACAATGATTTTGAGACTTCCCTACATTAGAATTTTTAATATTTTTTCATCTACATGCTCATCTTTAGTAAATACATAACTAGATGGATTGTGAAGTGAGGGAATTAAAAAGTGCTATCTTATATCGGAATGAATAAATCATTTATATTAGCTCTTCTGTTTCTAGGCTGGTCTGGAATTGGCAACAAATACCAAGCCATCAGTACTCTCTGACATGGAGTATTCATTTATTTGTTGTTTTTTTAAAGTGCTCTGACAAGTTGTTTACTGTGAGCCAAATGTCAATTAGCATTGGCCTGAAAAGGAGTTGCTGAGTTACACGTGTTTATGTTTAGCTTCCCAGTAATCCTGACTTTTTTGGCTTTTATTTGCACGAGGTATTTATCTTCAAAGACTCACCATCAGCACCACCACAAAAAAAAATCCTATTTAATAATTTAACATTTTCT